CTTCATCCTAACACTAATCCTGACCTTCATCCTAACACTAATCCTGATCTTAAACCTAACACTAATCCTGACCTTAATCCATCACTAATCCTGATTTTAATCCTGATCCTAATTCTGACTCTAACCCTGGCCTCAACCCTCGCCCTAATCCTGACCTTAATCCTAATGCTAATCCTGATTTTAATGCTGACCTTAATCCTAACCCTAATCCTGATCTTAATCCTAACCCTAACCCTGACTTTAATCCTAACCTTAATCCAAATTTAATTCTGACCCTTATCCTAACCTTAATCCTGATCCTTTTCCTTACATTGACCCTAACCCTGATTCTAACCCTAATCCTTATCTTAACCTTAATCCTAACTCAAATCCTGACCTTAACCTTCACCCTAATCCTAATCCTATCTCTACCCCTGGTCAATACACCAGGTTCTCTGCCACTTGCTCTGAAGCTGCCAGTGATGTTGGCTACCCGCTTGTGGAGGCAACACATTTCGCTTTTCTCTTGCAGTGCCTTTGTCTTTCTAATCATTCAGTTACAATGGATCCAAGTGCGAACAAGGTGGTTCCCATTGTGCGTGAAGATGCCTTCTATATACTTTAACACAACCCATCAATTCAGGCTGGTTTTCATGGGAACAGATGATCTGCAGTAGGCCCATTCAGCTCATTGAGCCAGCTCCGCCATTCAATACAGTTAAGGCTGATTGAACACTTCAGTGTATTTTACACAGCCCATTCCCCATAACGCCGTATACTGCTGGGAATCAGAAATTTATCGATCTCAGTCATAACTACACTCAAAGACTGAGCTTCCACAGCCCTCAGTGATAGAGAAGTTCAAAGATTCACAATCCTCTGGATTAAAAAAAATCTCCTCATCTTAGTCCTAAGGGGCATCCCCATTATTTTTAATGGTTTCAGACTCCTGAACCAAGGGATAAATCTTACCTGCATTCACACTGTTTATCCCCTTAAATGTTTTGTAAGCTTCAATGAGATCACCTTTCAACCTTTGAAATTCTAGAGAATACCAGTCCAGTTTACAAAATCATAGAGTCCCCACAGTGTGGGAGCAGGCCATTCAGCCCATCGAGTCCACACCAATCCTCTGAAGAGCATCCCACCTAGATCCACCCTCCCGTATCCCTGTATTTCCCATGGCTGACCCACCTAACCTGCATATTCCTGGACACTAGGGGAAATTTAGCATGGTCAATCCACCCTAACCTGCGCATCTTTGAACTGTGGGAGGAAACCGGAGCACCCAGAGGGAACTCACACAGACACAGGAAGAATGTGCAAACTCCACACAGACAGTCACTTGAGGGTGGGAACAAACCTGGGTCCCTGGTGCTGTGAGGCAGCAGGGCTAACCACTGACCACCATGCCACCAGTTGCCCAATCTCTCTTCATAGGACTGGCCTGCCATCCCAGGAATGTGTCTGGTGAACCTCTGTTGCAGTCCCTCCATGGCAATAAATAATATCTTGCCTGAGGTAAGGAGACCAATACTGCACATAGTACTCCGAGTGTGGTATAACCAAGCTCCTCTATAATTGAAGCAAAACCTCTCTATTCCATTTCAAAGTGAAATTGCCTCAGGTGTAATGGGGCTTAAAGCCGGACTATACCTGAGCTACATAGTGGAATCATTGAAATTCAGCAACTGTGTCTCTTATTTATTAAAGCACAGTGCGAAATGGGCTGACAAGTCCTTATGGTCCAGTTGACACTCATCCATTTCACTGGAGCTTTGTACTCAGAGGTAAGCAGAGATGACTCTCACCAGTTTCCCTGTGGGAACAGGAGCTTTATGATCATGTTTTTTCAATTCATTCACAGGACAAGTGCATCGTTGTCTAGGCCAGTATCATATTGCCCATCCTTAATTGCCCAGCGGGCAGTTAAGAGTCAACCACATTGCTGCGGGTCAGGAGTCACATATAGGCCAGACCAGGTTAAGGATGGCAGTTTCCCTCCTTAAAGGACATTAGTGAACCAGATGGGTTTTTCCCAACAATTGGCAATGGATTTATGGTCATCACTAGACTCTTAATTCCAGATTTCTTTTTTTTTAAATTGAATTCAAATTCTGCCATGGTAGCATTCAGACCTGGGTCACTGCTTTAACAGTCCAACAATTACACCACTAGGTCATTGCCTTCCGAAGATGACTGCAGCCTTATAGTTCCAGCTTAGTTTAAGTTTTCCTAACCATATGTGACAGACAGCACACAGATCAGTGAGCTGCCTACAGGCCCACACAGAATCAAACCACAGACAACTGCATGCAGTTTCATGCACAACTGGTGTGTGTTTGAAAATGTGAGTCTGTTTACTATTGGTGGTTACGGTGCTTGATCAGTTCGGCTTGATGCAATGAAAAGGAAATGTACTGCCCAAGAGTTTTCCCTTGGAACTACAGCACAGGTGGGAGATATTTGTGATAGCTGAGATATGATAAAGCCTTAGCAGTAAAACCTACATAGCTCTGAGGCACATGATATGCACAACAAACAGCTCTTGTTGTTTATGGGTTTTGTGCAGGCTGAGACAATGTGTGGACAATTGACCAGCAAAATTGTGTACTTATTCATTTACTGTTGTGTGACAATGCTGTCTCTTTAAGAGATTATCTTGTCCTGCTTTTTTTAAAGAGTGAAATTGAACAAGGGGAACTGAGCTGGCTACTGAAGACCACTTGAGTAAACAGTTTGGGAGGCCTTGGGATTATTTTTAAATGCAGCCTGAATGGGTGTGGCCAGCTGTCACAGATCAGGATTACTGAGTAGCATCAGAAGCTATTAAGGTCTAACAGAATTGGAAGCTTCAATAAATGTCTCCTGGCTGCTACTCTCTCTGAATGTTCTCTTGATATGTTTTTCCTCCTGGATTGGAGAACTGCATGTGAGAATCCGAGTCTGAATTTTTCTTTTTGCCGAGGGGTGTGCTTATGGGATATTACTATATTGGAACAGTTAATTAGTAATAGTTACTGTATCTATTATTCTGTTAAGTTTTCCAATAGTTACATTATTTTAAATTCCTCTTTCTATGGTTGTATTTTAACTACAGTGTTTAAATAAATTGTGTTTTGCTTAATATCGAGTAGTTTGACCAGTCGCATTGCATCTGGAACAGGCACTTTACTTTAGAGTAAGAAAAACTTTGTGCAAATTTCTTGAGGGGAGTCTGGCCTGATCCACAATATTTGTGTATTGAATTTATACTTATTTAGGCAAAACGGTAGAAGGAGTGAGTGTTGGAAAACTTCCTGATTTTGAGCTGCCAATGTCAATTTCAAGTTTTCTCAAGTCACCCCTCCATAACTCTGTTCACTTTGTGCAGTTCCTTCAAATTCACCTCCCTCTGTTCCTGAACAGCTGCCTTCAGTTCCTCGAAGTGAGTGGTGGCACATTACTAAGCAGGGCTGCGTGGTGGTTTGAAAAGTGGGGTGGCTGGCCAATCTCATTTTCATCATAGAATCCCTATAGTGTGGAAACAGACCATTCGGCCCAACAAGTCCACACGACCCTCTGAAGAGTACCCCACCTAGACCCATTCATCTTCCCTATCCTTATAACCCTGCATTTCCCCTTGCTAATGCACTCAACCTACACATCCCTGGACACTATGAGCAATTTGGCATGGCCAATCCACCTCACCTGCACATCTTTGGACTGTGGGAGGAAACTGAAGTGCCCAGAGCAATCCCATGCTGACACGGGGAGAGTGTGCAAACTCCACACAGACTGTCACCCAAGGGTGGAATCGAACCCAGGTCCCTGGCGCTGTGAGGCAGCAGTGCTGAAGAACCTTCACAATAACACTGATGGAAGAGACATTTTTCTCAACCTGGGTGAACTGCTTTCAAGCTGAGCCCTTGAACAAAAAAATCCAGAAGCTGTGTTTTCACTCATTGCCTGGCCAGTCCCTTTGCCATGAGGATCAGAGGTCAAGATATGTCCATGGTGCACATCTAGGGCCAATGACCTGGATGGACAGAGGTGCTTTCAGGGACCGAGCGATCAAGTGGTCATCTCAACTTGAAATCGAACAACAGATTCAGTTCAGATTGAATCAGCAACAATGGCAAAGGGTGACTTACCTCGATGTTCAGGAATATGTTCTCTAAGTCGTATGTATTGAGAAACCGATGTAGAGGCCTAAAAAAATGCTGCAAAAATAGAGATGGAGATTAGTTTAAAAACCAGTGACCAGAAGAAAAGACAGACCCAGTATATGTGCTGCACAGTGACTGACTGGGCATCCAAAGAAATTGGCCCAGTCTGTCCCATTAGCCCCAATCCTACCTGATGTATGGACTCTAATGTTTCTGTGTATTTCTCCTCTGTCTGTCTGATCTCTTGAAGGCAGCAATTGCGTTTGTCAAAGTCAGTCATTTTCTGAGGCTGGAATACAGATCCCAGTTAGTATAGTGAAGGGAAACATTTTTACTCCTGCATTCCGCCCATCCAAAAACAGTTTGTAGAAAAGCTCAAAACTCACTCCGTCCCGTCACCGCCCCCAAAACATCCAACTATTTTCCTTGCTTGGGGGACCAGCTGAATTTGTGTTGAACGATGCCACCAGATTGGCGGCAAAGAGAATGAAATGTTTGAGGCCTGTCGCGTGGAAACCATGGCACAATGAGGCCAGGAACTGGTTTAAGAGCTTCGACATTTAAAAGCCATTTGGCACGTCCAGTGGTCATCCAGCTCCTGAGAGAGGGAAGGAAATCAGCACAAAAGTGGAGCGCACACGCATCGGTAGGAGAAGAGGGATGAAGGATCCCTTCGCAGTCTAAGTATCAGTGAGGGGGATTAAACCCTCACTGGTCTGGGAGCAACAGAGCATCCATCAGGTTCCCCACTGTCTGCTTGCTCTTTTAACCTGACTGCCTCCAGGATGGGATTCTACGCATGTAGTGTTGCTCTCAAGTTCCTCAAAATGATTGTCCTCTAGATGGCTGTGCACAGGAACAGGTTCCATCACAGCTCTCGGTGCTGGGAATGGATAAGCATTCACGAACAAAGCAGCAAAACTAGAGCAGGGATTCCAGCTTCCAATTACCCAGCAGGGTCCTCTTTAAGGAAGGGCACATTGTTGACTTGTGAGCAGGGTGGGAACTGGGATGTCTTCTGTGCCTGCTCACCCTACCCAATGTGGGGGTATAAAGGTAATGACATTCATCTCCATTCCAGTAATCCTGCCCATTGCTTTAGGGCCATGTATTCAAATCCCACTGTGGCTACCAATAGAAATTAACTTCAGTTTTAATTAGTGTGGATTATTAAGTTAGATATCAGTGATGGTGACCATGAAGTTATCATCAATTGCCCTAAAATTTAATGTGCTTTAGGGAAGGATATCTGCCACTCTTACCCAGTCTGTCCTACATGTCACTCCAGGCTCACAGCAATGTGGTTGAATCTTAGCCACTCTCTGAAATGGCCAAGCTAGCCAATCAGTTCTAGAGTAATTACAGAGGGGTAGAAGTACTGGCCTTGCCCACATCCCACCCATAAAAGAACAATTCTTCCTCAGTTACAGGAGAACAGGGATAGAATGACAGCTGCTAAACTCCATACCGCGGCCATCACACACTCAGGCCTCATCAGATCTTCGTAAATTTCACCTCCTTCATCATCATCATTTTCCACACAATCATAAAGGTCATCATCTTCTTCTCCAGTGTCACTGTTGGGACAAAAGTTACGAGATCATGTGAAGAGATTGGTGTCCACAGCAAGCTCCAAAGTCTACCTCAGTAAGGATCTACCTCCATATCAATCCACGTACAACAACTGAGCCTCAACTGTGCTTCAATGTTATACAGTCATCGAGTCATAGAGATGTACAGCATGGAAACAGACCCGTCGGTCCAACTCGTCCATGCTGACCAGATATCCTAAATTAATCCAGTCCCATCTGCCAACATTTGGCCCATGTCCCTCTAAACCTTTCCTATTCATATATCCATCCAGATGCCTTTTAACTGTTGTAATTGTACCAGCCTCCACCACTTCCTCTGGCAGCTCATTCCATACACGCACCACCCTCTGTGTGAAAAAGTTGCCCCTTAGGTCCCTTTTAAACCTTCCCCCCTTTCATCTTAAACCTATGCCCTCTAGTTTTGGACTCCCCTACCCTGGGTAAAAGATGTTGGCTATTCAGTCTCTCCATGTCCCTCAAGATTTTATAAACCTCTATAAGGTCACCCCTTTGCCTCCGACGCTCCAGGGAAAATAGTCTCAGCCCATTCAGCCTCTCCCTAAATCCCAAACCGTCAAACCCTGGTAACATAGTGATCCGAATGGAATGCCGATTAATTGATGCATGGAAAATTCTCATCAAATTTAGCTCTTAGCTAATCAGTTTTCTCAGTACAGTGTAGGTACAGCGAAGACCCCTTGACTTGCAACTCCCTCAGTGTATATGCTACCGGCCCAGTGGGAATGCCAGTCTTTTGTGCCAGGTTATAACAAGCCAGACTGAACCAACCAGTCATGGCCAACAATAACACCAACGTGCCTTTATATAGCAACTTTCATACAGTAAAACATCCCAAGTTGACCCATTCCTGGGATGAGGAGGTTATTTTTTGAGGTAAGGTTGGACAGATCAGGCCACTGGAATTTAGGAGAATGAGTGGTGATGTTATTGAAATATGCAAGACACTCTGGGGACGAGACAAGATATACAGAGGCAAGATGTTTCTGTTGTATGTACACCTTGCCTTTGAGAAGCTCCACCTTTCAGGATTCCATGTGTTATGTATATACAATGTTGTAGTGTTTCCTGGCTTGGGTTTGCAAAATGCACACACATAAATTTGTTGTTTTATTGTAATGTCTGCTTCATAACTTATTATGTTCTTTCCCATTTTAAAACAAAACTAAGCCACAGCATCAATCAGTCCCTGAAGAGAGATTTAATCATTGGACTATTATCAGCCGGACTGTTTCCTCTTGCGGGATAGACTACAATAAGAGGTTTCCTTTTAAAGACAGAGATGAAGATTTCTTTTCTTTCAGAGGGCCGTGAGGCTATGAAATTCTCTTCCTCCAAGAGTGGTGGAGGCAGGGTCATTGAATATGTTGAAGAATAAGTTTGACAGATTCCAATAGACAAAGGAATTAAGGGCTATTGGGAGCAGTTAGGGAACTGGGTTGAAACTGCAACCATATCTGCCAAGATCTTATTGCATGGTAGAGCATGTCGAAAGGACCAAATGGCCTAAGGCTACTCTGAAGTTTGGTACCGGTGTTGGAAGGGGTCCAGAGGAGGTTCACAAGCACAACTCCAAGGGTGAAGGGCTTGTCAGTGAGGAGCGGTTAAGGGCTCTGGGTCTGTACTTAATGGAGTTTAAAAGTTTGAGGGGGATCTCATCGAAATTTACAGAATACTGCGAGGTCTGGATAGAGTGGGTGTGGAGATGTTTCCTCCAGTAGGAGAGACGAGGACCCAAGGGCACAGAGTGAAGTAACGACCCTTTGGAACTGAGATGAAGAGGAATTTCTTCAGCCAGAAGGTGGTGAATCTGTGGAATATCATTGCTGCAGACGGCTGTAGAGGCCAATTCATTGAGTGTTTAAGAAAGAGACAGATAGGTTCTTGATTAGTAAGGGATCAAGGGTTACAGGGAGAAGGCAGGAGAATGGGGTTGAGAAACATATCAGCCCTGATTGAATGGCGGAGCGGACTCGATGAACCAAATGGCCTGATTCTCTTCCCGTATCTTGCGGTCTTACTAATTTTGAATGGCGTCATGGTCAGCACAGACATGGTGGGCCAAAGGACCTGTTCCTGTGCTGTACTGTTCTATGTTCACAGGAGCATTACCTGACAAAGGTTGACATTGTGCCACATAATGTGTGGATTCGATGGGCTGAATGGCCAGCTTCCACAGTGCAGGGATTCTGCGATAAGGAGATATTAGGACAGGTGACTGAAAGTTTGGTTAAAGAAGTAGTTTTTTAGGCGACTGGAAACACCACAACAGGAATGTGTGAATTCAAAGCACAGTCAGTCCAAAATGAGTGTTGATCAGTGAGCAGTGGGTGATCAGTGAATGGGACGTGCAAGTTAGGTTGTAAGCTGCAGGGTTGACAAAATTTCATGTTTGCAGAGGGTGCAAGATAATAGTGATGAAGCACTCTGTGACTTACTCAATGACATCAGAAAGACCACTGTAGATATCATCATCGGCCAAGCTGTCTTCTGTTGGAAAGGAGCTGGAATAAAGACATAGTCTCATCATTTTCCTTACATCTGACATGTAATTCTCTCATAAATGTAACAATTGTTTGAACATCCCATTTGGACAATAAGGGTTAGCAGAAGCAGCTGAAGATATAGAACTAACGAGAGAGAGAGAGGGAGAGACAGCAGGATGAAAGGATTAACTCGGCCTCCAAATAAAAATACATTTTTGGAACAACTCAGCCAGTACAAACTGCCACTGTGAAATCAAAACCTTTAGGCAAAAGAGAAATAATTTGCTTGTATTTTCATAAATTAACCAGGTTTTGGGGAGAGTTACATGTAGGTAGAGGCAGGTCAGATGCTAGGAATACTGCCATGAGTAACTCACCTCCTGACTCCCCAAAGCCTGTCCACCATCTACAAGGCACAAGTCAGGAGTGCGATGGAATGCTCCCCACTCGCCTGGATGGGGGCAGCTCCAACAACACTCAAGCAGCTTGGCACCATCCAGGACAAAGCTGCCCGCTGATTGGCACCACATCCACAAGCATCCACTCCCTCCACGACCGACGCTCAGTAGCAGCAGTGTGTACTATCTACAAGATGCACTGCAGAAATTCACCAAAGATCCTCAGACAGCACCTTCCAAACCCACGACCACTTCCATTTAGAAGGACAAGGGCAGCAGATACATGGGAACACCACCCCCTGCAAGTTCTCCTCCAAGCCACTCACCATCCTGACTTGGAATTATATTATCGCTCCCTCACTGTTGCTGGATCAAAATCCTGGAATTCCCTCCCTAAGGGCATTGTGGGGTTACGTACAACCCAAATGTTGCACGGTTCAGGAAGGCAGCTCACTATGGTCTTTTGAAGGGCAATTAGGGATGGTGCTGGGCAATAAAAGTTGGCTCAGCCAGGGACACTCACATCCAACAAATGACTAAAAGAAAATCTTTATCCACACTCAGATGGGTGCTAATGGGCATCAGCCTGGAATGGGACTGGGGTTTTCATCTGACCACATCTCTCCCCTACCCTATTAATATAAAAACGTCATTTTGACTTAATGTAAGGCTGATTTTGACAGCTGATCACTTCCCCCACCAACTATCACTCTCCTCTCCCTCAGTGCAATTTGCGAGTTGGCCAGATTAGTCCTGGAATCTCCAGGAAGCAAAGACTAATCTGTTGGATACGGCTGCTAGTAAAACCAGGGAGAATGATCACAGCGATAATTAAAAAAACATTGTTTTTGTTTAAAAAACATTTTTGTTAGCATTTATAAATGCATTGGAAGGGAAGCAGAGTTGGCCGAAAATTAGTATTCGTCCAACAGGCCAATGAGGAATCCCCTTCCCTCCCAACTGGCAACAGAAAGTTAGGGACAAGACATTTTGTGCAAACAATAACAGGGGTTCGGGAAGGGTTGAGATCACGGGATGTCACCTCTAGGAATATCTACAACGAGGGCGAGCAACAGTCAGTTGCTGTTGTCTCACTCTCTGTAGAGACTGGAGACACTTGGCAGTCGCCATGTGTCCATTGTCTCGTACAACACAACTTGTTTTTTTTAAAGAATCCCTACAGCCCAACAAGTCCACACCGACCCTCAGAGCATCCCTCCCAGACCCCTATAACCCACCTAATCTACGCATGCCTGGACACTATGGGTAATTTAGCATGGCCAATCCACCCTACCCTGCACATCTTTGGACTGTGAGAGGAAACTGGAGCACCCGGAGGAAACCCACGCAGACTCGGGGAGAACGTGCAAACTCCACACAGACAGTCACCCGAGTGTGGAATCGAACCCGGGTCCCTGGCGCTGTGAGGCAGCAGTGCTAGCCGCTGAGTCACCTTGGACAGAGCAGTGACTGTGGTGTTGCAGTTAGGAATGAAGAGCATTGGTTTGGCATCTCCAGAGGTTATGTATAAATGAAAAGGCATATTCCCACCCAAACACCACCACACCCCCACCCCCCAGTCCCCACCCTGTAACACCTTCGATGATCTTCAGAAGACCCAAAGGCTTGCGCAATTGACGCGTTTTTGAAGTGTGGTCACGTGATGTAGAAAAGTCAACGTGGGCACAGCATGATCCCACAAGCGGCTGTGGACTAAATGACCAATCATATGATTTTATCAATGCTGTTTGAGGGGAGAGAAAAGAAAAACATTCTCCGTGGTTTCCTCTTCAGATGTTAACATGAGATCTTGACCTGTGCAGGGAGACAGGAACTTATACCTGTGCCAGAAGGTTGGGACTGTGTGTGCCAGCTCCAGGCAGCCCAGATCACAATAAAGGCTGGCTCTCCCAGTACAACATGGAGGGAGTGCCGCACTGTCAGCCAGGCACCTTCAGGTGAGGCATTAAACAGAGGCCCTCTCAAGTGGACATAAAATATCCCAAAACAGTATTTAAAACCCCGAGAGGTCTCCCTCATGCCCTGGGCAACTTTCATCCATCAGACAGCATAATTAAAACAGATAATATGTCGTTAACACAGTGTTGTGCGTGTGTTATCTTCCTGTGCGAAAATTGTCTGCTGTGTTTCCTACATTGTAACAGTGGCTTCACATCGGAAAGCATTTGATTGGCTATTGGGCCATTCTGAAATCATATAGGTCCTTTGAAAGTGCGAGGTTTCTTTTTAATCAACTGAAACAGTGACCAAAGCAGAATCTGTTGTGACTTTTTAACAGGGAATTGAATAAATAATTGAAAAAAAAAACCAAAGATGTTTCAGTCTGAAACAAACAACTCAGGTTGTCCGATCGATCAAACCCAGTGTTTGTTCACTGCAGGTATGAATAAATAAACTTGCATTTAGGGGTGGTTGTGTCATGGGTTGGCAATAGGCTAAGTGGGAACATTCAGTATTCCCTGCTGCCATCAAGCAACACAGATGCTTAGCCCTATCATCAAATGGGTAATGTGGAATATGGATTTTAGTGCTGGTGTGATCTACCGGCTTTCCATCCCAAAGACTGGTGGATCACATCAGACAGGGTGTGCCTTTGGTTGTTCAATATAAAGATGTTGTTCACCGTCACACTGGTATTCTTGCAAAGTGTCCTGATGAGTGTGAGATGAAAAGACTTGACAAAGTTTGTCTCTTCTTCAACAATACTGGAAATCTTTAGATACAGATAACTCTGATTCCTTGAGAAGCCTGTCCAGTTTTACTAGGACTCATTAAGCATCCATCATATCATGTCTCACAATAAGTATACACATTCAGGAGCAGAATAAGATTAAAAGTGATAGCGATGGGGAGGTTCCACTTACCAGATTCCTTTCCTTTGAGCTATGGGAGTGTATGATAAATAGGACAGAGTGTCGATGACCTGAAAGAGAGTGAGAAAGGGTTACTTCCAAATCCATCCTGCCAGAGGATGTATACCAAATATCAATCAATGATCCTGACCAACTCAACCAAGTGACCACAAAAGCTTGAGGCGGCTGACTGTCAGGTTAGAGGAGACATTGTAAATTAATGATCACATCTAGGGGGAAAAAAAATGGACGGTAATGAAGGCCAGTCACACACAACAAACCGCACACCCGGCACCCTGAAAGTGAGAAGACACAGATTCATTCATACAAACATGGGGACGTGGATTGAAGGGAGGTGGCAGGAGGTTCAGGGGAGATGTGTGGAAAGTTATGTTTTTTCACCCAACAGGTGGTGGGAATCTTGAACTCTCCACCTGTGAGGGTGAGAGGGGTTGCGGGGTAGAGGCAGAATCCCTCATAATATTGGCAGAGTATTTAGATATGCAGAGAGAGTAGGAACTGCCGATGCTGGAGAATCTGAGACAACAAGATGTAGAGCTGGATGAACACAGCAGGCCAAGCAGCATCAGAGGAGCAGGAAAGCTGACGTTTCGGGTCTGGACCCTTCTTCAGAAATTTCTGAAGAAGGG